AGTGAGGATTGGATTTTACTGGGGCTCTGAAAAGCGTTACAAATGGCCCCTTTGAGGAGCTAATAAAAACAATGGACTCTCCCTCTCGATAAATGCACATGTGTACATATGTACACAGTCCTGTAGATGATTCAGGGTATATCTCTGAACTCAAATAAGAACCCCTTGGTTAGGCCAAAGACAATTTTCCAGGTTCAATTTAGTGATTACTAACTTTATTTGAATGTAGAGTAGCAAAGGTAATATCCCCAAACTTAACTAAACTATATTTGCTTTTAGCAGGAAAGATAAACATTTGAAAAACATAGGCAATAGTGTTACGTAGTTCTGCTTTTGGGGGGAGAAAACTGGTGAAAGATCTCTGGGCAGAGACAGGCTGAACACCAGAGGAAGGACAAGCAGTTGTGGAACAACTGCAAGACTGTTACCAGGATTTGGACTTGGACAGTTGTATTTAGAAGGAATGGGGTATCTATTATGGCCTGCCATGCTCTGGCACGGTACATTACGGTAGCTGGCGTCCAATATGAGATGGTCCTTACCTCCTGGTATTCACGCTCGTATGTATTCTCCTCCCACATTGACTCAGGTTGGTCTTTGTGACCAACAGAGCACCCTGCAGGTTACAGTACATGATATCCGAGACTTAAGTGATGAAAGGCATTGTTGCTTCTGTCTTTGTCTCTTGGATCCCTCATTTTGGGCGAATCCAGCTACCATGTTGTGAGGACACTCAAGCAGTCCCGTGGAGAGACCCACATGGGGAGGAACCGAAACGTCACACCAATAACCAGTTCAACTTGCCAGTGGTGAGTGAGGCACCTTAAAGTAGATCCTCCAGCTCCAATCAAGCCTTCAGAGAGCGGAATGCCAGCTGAAATCCTGACCGCAATTCATGAGAGACTCCAACCAGAGCCACCAGCTAAGCTGCTCCCTAAATTCTGACTCACAGTTCTGGGGTAATTTGTTTTGTAGCAATAGACAACTAACATATACATTTAGGTCAAAATTCTCTAAAGGGTGAAAAAAATAAGGGATTCACACCTTCTACTCCCATCCCGGTCAACTAAAGGAGAGGTCAGTGAGGTGCTCTTCAGCTACAGTTTTCTCTAAGCATTATTGAGTCACCAGATTGAATCATCACAGAAATTAGAGACTTCTGTCTTAGCCAAATGGTTACTCTAAGCAATGACTAGACACAGAGTTGCTGAAAAGCAGGAAATAGAACTGCTAAACCAGCTTATGAAGATTTCTATTAATACAGAAATTAATAGAAATACAGATGCATCCTTATGAAGACTATTCCAGGGAAATCACAACATGTCTCAATGCTCATTGTGGTCACCATAATTGATAAGGGATACACAAACCACTGTGTCCAAAGGTGAGTCAGTATTCTGAGAGATCTGGAAACTATTCTTAAGGATGGTTGAAGGATCTGGGCTGTTTAGTCTGAAGAAGATGTAGAGAGCATTTAATAGTTATCCATTTGAAAGGCTGGCATGTGAAATGAGTAAACATATTTTGAATTGATTGAGAAAAGTGGCTTAGTGACAAATTATAGGAATGCAGATTTTAATTCACTTATAACAACCATGGCTGTTTAACAACAGGTCATGCTATAGAGAAAACTATGGTGCTCCCTCTCCCTGGAAGGGTTTAAGCCAAAGTTGGCTGGTTGGCCTTCATAGATGTGGTAAGAGTGATTCTGGCAGCATTTGGGAAACTGAGCTAGATGACCTCTAAGGGGTTGTTCCTGAAAAACTTTTCCTCCTGAATGTGTCTTGTTACGCATGAATATCTTTAAATATGAAAATCAGCGTAGTGGGAAGAGTGTGCATTATAGAGGTATCAGAACTCTATTTGGAAGTTACTAGCTGTGTGACTTTGGGCAAGACACTTAGCCTTTCTGAGCTTCACTGTCCTTACTACCTCTCAGGGCTGTTCTGAAAATTCATTAGATGACACATCACTCAAATCACCCATTTGGCATTTAATGCATGTGTGGTTCTCTTCCTTCTATTTTCTAAAATACGGCTTATAATCAAACATCTGGGACCAATTACGATTTTGGAAGTGCAGTGTTGAAACGAGCTACTTTTTCTAGGCTTCAAGTGTAGGATTTCATTTGTTTTTAAACAATAAATTTGATTAAGATTTGATTAGATGCTTTGTGGCACAGCATCTTAAAAAAAAACAACACAACTTTTGTGTAAGTAGAAATAGAAGGAATCAGAAGCCAGATGGCCAACATCATCTTTGAAATTTGCAACTGCAAGATCATCACTTAACTGTCTTTCCTCCTAAAAGAGTTATCGGAAAAACAAAAATAAAAAACCCAAAGAAAACACTGCAAACTATATTACTCAAAATCATAAAGTATTTTATCTTCCTGGAAAGTATTCCAAATTTGAGTAAGAAAAGTTCAGTAACAAGCACTTTATTTTCTTTAAATTTTTAAAAGAAACTGGAATCTGACAGAATGAGTCAACATATGGTTTTCTAGCTGTCCTCCTTCCCAACCCAAAGATGAAAACAATTAGAAGTAAATAAACATCACAAAAATACTGGAAATAAATTTTTATATTTACAAATAACTTCCTTTAAATTTGTTTTACTTTGTTAGCAAAGAAAGCTACCCCATGGGCAGAAGTCAGAAACTTGAATTACTGAACCAGCTACTAAGATTACGTGTATTGAATTGTTAATACTGTTCAAGTAGATTGAGTCTTAACAATCACAAATCCTTTATTATCTATTAGCATGTACTCTCAAGCATTCTCACTAGAAGCTGTCTTTAAATAATAAATGGTAACTGAGATGTGCAATTGTTCTTTCACATTTCCATGTCTTATCTGTAACATGTGCAACGATTTAAATAGGCAGCTCAATGCTCATGGCAGCCTCTAAGTAACTGCTATCTTGAATCCCCTTAATGCTAACTATTTTTCCTACCCCAAATTCCAAGTTAAACACTATCAATATTCTGGGGACCACCCTTTCACACATTGTTCTATACAAATATATACATAATTTAGCAAAAATGAAATCATATTTACAGACTGTTTTTATTGTGCCTAAGTTCAACAGCATCAAAAGCATTTTTAGGTACTTCAGGTGGCTGTAAACTAAAAATAATCATTTTTGTCAGATACTGTATCATCTTTATACACATATATTTCAACCTCATGAATGTTCATTACGTTTTTAAATGTTTTGTCCATGCTGGCGAACCTTAGATGGACTCTGCTTTAAATAAGTGCTTCTCACGGTGAAATGCACAATATCTTAATATTAATCATTATCAAGGTATATCTCATTAATAATGTACATTTCACAGTGCCAAGTGAGAATGACCTCATTACTCTAAAGGATTCCTGGAAGTCTGAGTCACAAGCATAAGTGACAAGAGCTACAGGGTTGGGCTGTGGTGGTTGTGGAGACTTCCTGGCTGAAACAGGGACTGGACTACAAAGACGTGTTAGGGCAGACAGCTTAGGACTTACATGGTGATACAATGATGCCATAAAGGATCCAGCCTCTTTCCATTCTGCCATCCTCGCTCTGCCATCCTCGGCATGTAGACCTTTGTTCTCCTGTTTATTGCTTATGACTGAACTTCGGCTGCTGTACCTCTGGCATCACCTTCCTCCAGGAAGAAAGACAGGTGGAGGGCAAGGATGAGTTCTGGTCTGCAGAACATGTCCATCTAACAGCTTTCCTGGAAGCCCCAGTAGCAACTTCAACTGGGTTTCAACTTCATTTCACTGGCTAGAACTATGTCAAATGGCGCTCCTGGATGTAAGGGAGTCTGAAAAAGTATTTTTAGCTAGAATTAAGGTTCCATTAGGATGACTAGATACTGGGTAGAAAAAGAGAAGGGTCTGCTGAGTCACAGCAAGCTGTCCTTATTCCACGACAAGAAATAGAGGGGACTTCACTCTTATTTCAGAAGAGCATTGAGAGGCTATGGCTAAGATACGGTAGGTGTCTACCACAAAGAAGGAGGTGAGGGAGGGGATGGTGTAAGGGATCCTGCTGCCTTAGCTATTGAGAGGAAGAATTTTCCCTTGGTCACTAACTCAGTGGTGCCTAACCTTCACTAACTCTTCTGAAGCTGAGAGGGAAAGAGACCAGCTTCCCAAAGCTTGCATTCTCCTGTAAGTGGAGGCCTGGAGCTGTGAAAATGCACATCTAACAAACTTTAATTTACTGTACTGACTCCTAACCCAGTGCAGAAAATGGAGAATAAGTCAGCTTTGGGCAGTGGGCTTAACCTCTGCATGCCTATGTCTAAGCCATAAAAGAGCAAAATAACACTGCCATCCCTCTTCATCTCCCATTGTATTGAACACACAGTAGGTGCTTAGTAAACACTTGTCAACTTTTGTGATGACTAAGAAGAAAGAGATGGAAATTAACATTTGAGAGACTGCTACGTGCCAGAACTGCTCCAGAAGGTTTACACAGGTAGCTCAGTTCTCATCACACGCAGTTACCTAGGCATTACCGTCCCCATTTAGAAGACAACAGAGGCTCAGAAAGGTTAGCTAGGGTCAAACGGAAAGTAGAGGCAGACTTCAGGTTAAACTGTGAGCCTTTGCTCCTTCCGCAGTGGTACCCCACGCTCTGTGCGCCAAAGCTCCTGGCAGCGTGCTTTGCAGACAGTCGGCACAAGAAACTGTGAGAAGTTTGCTTCAGCATTAGGAAGGACACTAACTTGTGCAGAAACAACTCCAAGGATGGAGGAACACTTTGCAAATCTTCAGGGTGTGGTAAACAACAGGCTATACTAACGCCAGCTAAACTAGTCGTGAGGCCTGAGTGCAGCCGGGAGGCGGGGCCGAGCGAAGAGTCAGGGCTAGAGGGCTCCGACGCGCCCCAGCGGGGCCCGCGGACCGGGAACTCGGCCGGAGCGGCCTGGGGTGGCCAGTGGCGGCCGGGCCGGGAGGGCAGCGCGCCGGGCCGGGCCGCGCATGACGCACTTCCGCCCTGCGCTTCCAGGCTTAAAGGGGACGCAGACCTTCCGCACAACAACAACAAAACCAGCGCGCTCGCGGCCGGCGCCTCGGCTCTGGTCCCCGCCCTCCTGCCACCTGCCGCCGCCTGGGCCCCGCCCGGCCTGTGCCCCGCTGCCCTGCCCCAGGGGTCAGGCGGAGAGCGGGCCGCACCCTTCGGCCAACTTCTCCCGCAGCCAGCGCTCCGCCTCGCGAGACCCAGGGCCAGGCTGTGGCCGCCACCGAGCAGCAGGAAGGGAGCGGCCACCGCGGAAGACGTTCGGCCGGCGGCCCTGCCCAGGCGTGAAGGGTGGCGGTGGCGGGCCCCACGGCCTTCTCTCAGGTACCCCTGCCCCGGCTGGCAGCCCTGAGAGGCCCGGCCCGCGTGGCGGGGCCGTGGCGTAGGAGCCTTGTTGCGTTTCAGGTTTGGGGTCGCGGCGGGGGCGGGGCGGTGACTTGGGCGGTCGCGCCCTCACCCCTCTTCCCATCTCATCGCTTTCTCTCTCTGCCCCCGGCCTCCTTCCGCAGTCCGGAGCCCGGCGGAGCCCGGACCTGGCGGGGAAAACTGCACCCACGGCCGGGCCCCCCGACCCCGCCGCCGCCGCCACCACCGCCACTACCGCCACTGTCCATCATCCTTGGTACCGGCAATGGCCTTTGTATCGCCCGATGCGCGTGTAACTGACGTGGACACGGAATATTAAGAACCTACTCGCTGCGGTCCCTATCCCAGTCGCGCCGGCAGTAACCACCTAGGATCATTTGAGCTTAACTGCTGCTCCTCTTGACTCTCTCTATTCGTCTTTGGGGGCCACCATGGACCAAAATGGGATGGAGATTCCTGTGACCCTCATCATTAAAGCACCGAATCAGAAATACAGTGACCAGACTATTAGCTGCTTCTTGAACTGGACCGTGGGGAAACTAAAAACGCATCTGTCTAACGTGTACCCTAGCAAACCAGTAAGTGTCTAAAAGCTGGGCGCAGCTGCTCTGTCCAGCAGCTTTTCATGTCATGTACTCCCTTCCCCCTACTCATCCCCTCCGCTCTTGAATCAGATAGGTCTCTTTTGGTAGACTGCAAAGTATTCTAAGTTCTGAGGTTGTGTGTGTCTCTTGAGTGTCCAAACCATCATTAATATCTTCCTGATGAGGTTCAGTTAATTAGTTAAGAGTATACAGAAATATCAAGGGACATAAGAATTGGCAGGCTTAAAAAAGGACCATTTTCTTTGAACTTAAAGTCATCAACCTAATGTGGGAATGAGAGATTCATCCTTTTGAAAAAAAGAATCTACAGCTCATATTGAAGCTTGTATTGCTTGTTAGAGTAAAATCTCTTTTACTTTCTACACCTGGCCCAGAAATTTGCATAGTGTTGAAGAGCAGTTTTTTTCTTGGAAATAAGTGTGTGACCCCTATAAAAATACTTTTCAAGATCAGTATATATGTTTTAAGAAGCAAAGAGTTCTAAGTTTTAGATTCACTTTCTTCTGCCCCCTGTCCTTCATTTTTCTCCTGTGGAGGACACATAGATATTTCATTAATTTAGAAGAGAATAGTCCTGTCACCACACCAACATTTGGTGCTTCTTTTTTTTCCTTCTGTGTGGCCATTTGTAAATCATTGTGGCAGTGTTTTCCATTCTGAATCATATCTGGATATTGCAAAGATAAAAAATAAAATACAGATAGACAATATAGCTCCATCTGTCCCCAAAGTTAGATTTGAAAGTACGTAGTTGATAATTAAGATGTCTTGGAATAATTTAGACAAGTATAATGTCATGTAGAGTTTATGATGTGGCTTTTACATTCTCCACTGTATAAAATTTTCGTTCTTGAATAAGTAGTGTTCAGTGATTAGTTAGCTTTTGTTTCATTAACAAAGAGGCTTGGATTTTAGGGTGGGAAATATTTTTGGCATCAGGTGAATTTAAGCCGGCAACAAGAATCTGTTGGAAGGCAACTGTGCTTTCCAGGCTGTACTTAACACTTGTTTTATGCACATAAATAAGGGAATCACTTGCTCTGTATTAAGATATTAATGAATTAGGACTGTTTCAGTGTTACAGTATTAAGTTTAGTTAGACATTTAGACTTCTAGAATAACTACACAAATAGGGAAGTTATTGCAAAAATGGGAGATTTAGAAAAACAAACAACTCTTAGTTGGCATTAGCTGTGTTTGTCAGTACTTTGTCACACAAACATTTTTAGTAGGGGAAATAAAAACCCTGAGGTATTTAAGTACTTGGAACAAACTTGTTGGAACTCTCATTTATTCAGATCTTTTGTTTGCAAGTTAAGATTTACACAGGGGCTAACAATTTGTTTTAAAAATTTCTGCTTTACAAAAGATTTCCTATTGCATATGCTTCATTTTACATATTTTTGAAGTGGAAAATAGCTTTTCAGAATAGTCAGATTTGAAAGTTGTAGACTTCCATAGTACTGTTCCTAACATAGCCCAAATACCATTGCTAAGTAAATTCTTGGGCATGTATCTAAGCATATATGCTCAAGTTTGTACAGTCATGCACAACATAATGGTCAACCATGATCCATGGTTTCAGTCAACAATGGTCCCATAAGATTAGTACCATATAGCCTAGATGTGTAGTAGTCTGTATCACCTAGGTTTGTGTAAGTACACTTTTATGATGTTCACACATCGAGGAAATCGCCGGACACAATTCTCAGAACGTATCCCCGTTGTTGAGCCACCCATGACTACTTAAGTGAGGAGCTTTGTGTTATATGATTAAGCCAAAAGGGACTTGGTTTGCACTATGATAGACCAAGAGTGATCACTTTTCTGAGACTTTTTCTTTTTTAAAAAGTTTCTAAGAGAGGAGTGTGAAACCCATTTGCCTTATCTGTACCCAGGAGAAGCCTGCTTTTGGCAGGAGCTCTGCCGTGGTAGCACTAATCTCCAGTGGAGGGCTGTCAGTGCCCACATGGATCAGTCAGCTGCTCGAGGACAGATAAGTTGCAAACTTCTCTACACCTCGCCCTTGTAACCCACCTGCTTCTTAGACACACTGGAGACACTTTTGGAGGCTATATGAAATCATATGCAACCTATTCATGACCTAACCTTGTGACAAACCTGGCTTTTTTTCTCTTCCAGCAAGTCTTCTCTGAGTGAACTGTAATATCTGAAGTTATTTCTGGGTTAGTGAGAGTGGGTGGACCTTGGGGTGGGGTACATATTTTCATTGAACATCGCTGGAAATTTTGTATGTTTGGTTACTAGATTTGACAGGCTTGCATTCTAACATCACGTGAGAACTGAAATATGACAGTTGTTTAATGATACCCTAAAGCCACAGGTAGTCCTCAACATAGGTACTGGTGTCTTAAAAGTTTACTTAGTAAGGTTGTTATTTAGAACAGAGGATATTTTGCAATATAAGCAATATTATTAATATATTATAAAGCAAGTTGAGGTTCTTATGACCACCCACAATGACTGCTTAACCTTGATTCTGTGTTTAAGTGTCTCAAAGTGCTGTTTGAAGTTTAGCAGAGATTGTTTCTTGTGCCTGATTCCTTCCACATCTGCCTGGTGGAGGTGAGTGGACTTGGAAGCAGAGTAGGATTCCAGTGCCTTGTAGAAGCAGGTGTCCCCCAGTAAGTAGTAGAAAAGTGGTGGCTCTGGTCAGCACTGCTCTAATTGCGTCTGATGTGTCAGGTATAGGTGGAGGGCCTTGGTCCCTCTGGGCACTGGCTTTGAGGAAAATAAATGGCAGCTGCTGGAGGGAGAACAATGGAGATTTGAAGTTGTCCTTTTATAGTCTCTACAAGGCTAGGTCATGTATCTGCGTGCTGGTAACGGAATTCTGGCTAAACTCTGTAACTGTAAAGTCACAAGATTCTAGCTTTATGGTCAGGTATTGACTTGACCTAATACAAATATTCTCCATTTGGATATTTTAGGTACAACTCCCTTTCCCTCAATAAACCCACAGCGAGTATCTCCACCCCTGAGAAGCACACTTTCTTGGGTTTCATTTATTTAATTAGGATTTTATTGACCTGGCATTTGAATGTCTGTGTGCTAAACATGAAGGTGATGATAAAGAGTCCGTTGCTCTTATGAAGCCCAGATCTAGGCGGGGCATAGAGACATGTAAGTAAATACCTGTAATGTTATGTGGCTAATGTTGTACAAGAGGGCCGTACTGAGTGCCGTCGGAGCACAGGGAGGGAACGGTCAGCTCTGGAGTGGGGGTACGGGAATGTGTAGTGGTTTTAAAAGGTTGACAGGGACATTTTTCTTAAGAGTTGATAACAATTTTAAGCAGACAAGATGATAGCCTCTGTTTTTTTTTAACTATTCTTTCAGAGTTAATGTTTCCCTGATGATTCTAAATGTGTATATTACTTGGTACTTATATAGTACTTCATAAAAAGATTATAGATCCATAATGGGCTATGAAGGGGACGGTGTTTTCCAGTGAGGAAGTAAGGAAGTTGTGATAATTATGCAAAAGTTTACAAAGTCATCATTAAAAGCCTCAAATGTGGAATTGAGCTCTTTTGGAGTTTTGTTTAACTTCGAATGGTATTGATAATTGATTTAGGACTTGGTTTAGGAACTGGGAAGTGCACCAGTTCATGTTGGTAGTGTATATTTATAATTGTGAACCATATTCTAATATGACATTTGTCATCACCTCATGACTTTAGATTTTGACATCCTGAAATTGGCCTGTAGTGTGAAATAATTATTCTGAAAGAAAAGTAATTGCTACTAGGGGGTGAAGGTACCTGTCTAGAAGTCCACTTTTACTTGAGGAGTTTCAGACTTTGATCTAGTTTAGAATTAGTTACTAGAGATGTATATATCAAAATGGTTGAACTTAATGTTATTCAGTAGAATAGACTATCCTAGAGAAAACTTAAAAACTAAGAATCTCTAAATCCAATGAGGTATGTTATTCATTTATCTCTTCTTTCTTACTCTGTTCTCATACACAAACAATAACTAAGATGACCTGACTCACTCTGAATTCAGTTTTGAAGGCAAATCTTTCTGGGGCTTGTATGGCTTGGCTCCCTGTTTTTCAGTCTTCGGGTCATGTACTTGTTGAACATGTCCCTCAGTTCTGGGAGTTTTCCTCTGTCTCGGCGCTTCATACTGTTAAGCTAAGGCAGTCAATTTCATTTCTTAGGTCTTCCAGCTCCCTTACTCAGCTAGGGAGGTTTGTGCTGCTTTTTCAGATTGTCCCTTTGCTCTGAGATTCTGTTAGAATTAAGGAAAACAGGAATAGAACCAGTCGTATAGATTCTCTTCTGAGAATATAACATTCTATAACCAAATTGCCTACGGTTCAGATGGACGTCTTTCATTTTCAGTGGAAATAGCTTGTATAATATAATTTGAGGTTTATGTCTGTCTCACTTTTGTAATTCCCTGTTACCTTGCTTAGGCAGGTCGTTTTTAAAACTTACTCACTTAACCACCTCAGAACTGTTGATTTAAAGGGGCTGTAATCCATACACATAAATAATTTTTGCTTTATAAGACTATTGTCTTATAAAATTTTAGTACTATATACATTTAAGAGGGTTTCATGTCACTTAGCAATTTAGTTCAAACTTTTAAAACTCCTTTTGAACAAAGAGGAATATTTATTAAATTGAGTGTGAAGGTTGATGAAAAGTTAAAAATTTTGAACAAGTGCTGACTAAAATTCATTTTATTTAACTCCTTTGTAGCCTTTTCCTAATGTCTTTTTGGAAAAATAACAGTATTATGAAGGTAATATTTTGTTTAATCATGCATCAATCCCTTTTAAAATAGGATTTTTGTAGAACTTTTAAGTTTGTCTCCTTTGCATAATAAATACTGAGTTTATGGTCTCAAATGCTTTTATTTAACTGTCATATTTGGTGTTCTGATTTTAAACTGCCATTTACTAAATGCTTGCCATGTTACCAGGCATTCTACTGAGCACTTTATAAGTTTTATCACATTTATTCCTCATAGACACTTTATGATGTAAGTTTTATTATTAGCTTTATTTTATAGATGAGGAAACTCAAGTTTAGTGATTTTTTGCTCAAGGTCGTAGAGCTCTAAGTAGTAGAATTGGAATTTGAACCCAGATTGGTCTGACTTGCAAGCCTCAGCTCTTAGCCATTATAATTCACATTATATGTGATGATTATATATAATAAGTTGAAAAAAGGCATTTAGGGACTTGGCCATCTCAGTTGTATACTTGCAAATTAAAAACAAGTAAGTGAGCTGTTAGAAGAGGTGTATGTGTTTAGATGGTTTGTCATGTCTGGATAACATGGCCTTAATACTGTTCTAATGCATGTCGACTTAGTGTGTGGTTATTTCTTTTTATTTTGATAAACTGTAGGGAAAATATGGGAACATAGTATCTTAAGACCTTGAAGCACATTGCTTTGCTCTGTCTTTTCACATCTCTGCTTGTTCGTGTGATCTAGAGTAGACTTGTCTTGGCAGTCTCTGTTGTACGAATACCTGATTTGTGAATGGCCAGTGAGTGGAAACACCTGATCAGGGAATAAGCCTTTGGAGTTATAGGGAAAATTATTCTTTAAGCTGGTTTTCCTTACTGTTGTTGCAAGGAGATAAGGGTTGGAGGCAGTTTGGGCAAACTATGCTTCCATTTACAGTGTTTCTGAATGTCCTGGGGCTTTAGTTTGGGTGAATTGAGTGGGAAGGAGATATGTTCCAGTACAAATTCACAGAATTCATTTCCCACAGGAACGATATTTTGTGTACCTCCTGGGAACTAACTCTTTAAAAGTATTTGACACTTGTGACTGAACTGTATGTAAATACTGAAATGTTAATAGTTACTACTTTCAAAGGACTTGGGTTATGGTTCTTTCAACTAACATGTAAGTTGAAGGTTGCTTTTACTGAGCTATTTGATTATGTTGAAGTTGGATATACTAAGAACATGATTTTTCATGCCATACGTAATTATGAGAGACCCATTTAGTCTTTCACATAAAAATTTAATCTTTTGACACCAACTAGATGACTTTCTAGAAATATGAAAATATTTTTGGCTTTGTAAACTCATCTATCACACTCTTGTGAATGTTTTAAATTCATTAATATTGCATGGTATTATATCTGTTTTTGATATCTAAACATTAAAAAGTCAGACACTTCAGATAATAATATGTGTAAACCTTGTAGGAAGAAAAAAAAATCTTTCCCAAGTTTAGGATTAAAAGCAGGTGAGTTTTCCTCACCTTTGTTTTTAGCAACATCTGTTAAGTGGGTAGTAGAGTTTTTGGGCCAGCTGGTTAAGCAGCTGTTTATTTGGAGTGGTATGGTTCTGTCTCCAGGCTACTCAAAATACCACAGGTTGTGTCCAACTTAGTAATTTAGCTGCCTCTGCTCTACTGTCTAGGATAGAGGAGCAGTGGAGGCAGTGAAAGTAGTACACCTATAGAGTTTGCTGATAGTGGATGTAGGGTGTGAACAACAGGAAAAATGGTGGTGGTGTTAACAGAAGCGGTCAAGTATATTTATATGTTAATCTTTGTGGCCAGTACTTAACAATAGAAACTTTTAATTGATAATTTAGTTAGTTAGATTTGCCAATCCTGAGTCTTCTGAATTCTTCTATTTAAAGGGTACCATGTAATGTTTTTTTATTGAGACAAAAATGAACTTTTATTGTGCTAAGCTACTGAGATCTTGGGGTGTGTTATATCATCTAGCATTACTTACCCTAACTAATACAGAAAGGGGTTTTCAGTCAAGGTAAAAGATACTGTTATTAGCAGGTCTGGATAATAAAAGTGTGTCACTTTTACAGGTTAAATTGAATTTGAATTGAGATCTCAATCTGTACTTTTCCTAATACTCTAGCTTATAATGCAAATGACTAGTTGAAAATTCAGTCAGTTGATTATTTTGTTGTTTGTTATTGTGTCTAACCACTGGTTTCAGATATTTAAATTACATTCAGTGATATTTAAACTGAAAGGGTAATTCTTTTTAGTGACATAGAAAATTTTCAAATCTTCTTAATTTAGGCACATGAAAATTTCTTTTTCTCTGTTTTCAACGACAGTAAAATTAAAGAATTCTTTTTCCTTTTAAAACTTTTGATTATCTTAAGGCATTTGAATATTCAGTTTAAAGTAACAGTATTTTTTATTGAGATATAATTGACATTCTATAAAATTTTCCCTTTAATGTATACAATTCAGTGGTTTTTAGTAGTTGACAAAGTTGTGCAGTCATCACCACTGTCTAATTCTAGAACATTTTCATCACCCCAAGAGAAACCCCATACCCAATAGTAGTCACTCCCAATTCTCTGTTCCCTTAGTCTTTGGTAGCCACTAAACTACTTTCTGTCTGTGGATTTGCCTCTTCTGGAAATTTCATGTAAATGGAATCACAGTGTATGTGGCCTTCTGTGTCTGGCTGTTTTCACTTAGCGTAATGTTTACAAGGTTCATCCGTGTTATAGCATATATCAGTTCTTCATTACTTTTTATGGGTGGATGATATTCCACTGTATGTATATATCATATTTTGTTTCACTAACTGATAGGCATTTGAATTGTTTCCACTTTTTGGCTATTATGAATAATAGCCAAATGCTTCTACCAACCTTCTTGTGCAAGTTTTGTGTGGACATGTGTTTTCAGTTCTCTTTGGTGTATACCTAGGAATGGAATTGAGTATACACTAAGTCATAGGGTAACTCTACGTTTAACTTTCTGAGGAGCTGCTGAACTTTTCCACAGAGGCTGTTTCATTTTACATTCCCACCTGCAATGTATGAGGGTTCCAGTTTCTTCACATTCTCGTGCACACTTGTTTTTGCTTCTTATATTTTGAGGGGTACCATGCAATTTTGTTGTCTTAGTATATTCTGCTTTTTTGAAAATTGATGTTCCCTTGCTGTGGAAGGATAAAAGTTTATTTGAAGTTGACTGCTAATTTAGAGAAAACTTAATACTGAGATACTAACACATGATTGCTCCTTCATAGTAATCTGCTAATACCAGTACCATTTTCAGAGATGAACCAGGTGAATTTAGCACCAGTGGATATTTTAAATTAGTATTGTGATTCAGACTAAATATTTCATTTCCATTCTTAATGATTACATGTAAAATAACTGATATAGTGAACTTCAAATGAATTGTGTCTTCCAAATCTGTGTAAACACTTTTGGACTCATGATACTTCATTTAAGAATTGGCATTTAGCATCTTCTCTGTCAGGCACAGTCCTAGGCTCTGGGAACAAAGTGATGAACTAGACAGACAGGGACCCTTTGTTCTTGGCATTCATATTCCACTTAAGGAAACAAACGTGAACATAATTACAGATTGTGGTTTGTGTCATGAAGGAAGCAAAAAGGGTACATGGAAGGGAATACTCTAAGTTTGTAAATCAGAGAAACCTCTCTCAGGAGGTCATTTTAAAGCTAAGACCTAAAAGATGATTTGAGAGCTAGCTATGCTGGAGCTGGGAGAGAATAGAGTGAGTTGGAAAGAGCTTGGCATATTTGGGGATCTAAGTGAGTGACAGTTTGACTAGTGAGTGAGGAGGAAAGGATACAATCAGAGGAGGTTGGAGAGAGAAACGAGATCTGCTGGGACTGTCTGGCTATGGCAAGAGATTAGAGTTAAATCCATTATGGTGGGAATCTATCAGAGAGTGACAGGGTTGATTTACATTTTTAAAAAATCACTCTAGCTACTGACTGTAGAGTGGAAGTGTGAAGTTATTACGGAAGCTATTAAGAAGCATTGCAGAAGCTCAGGCAAGAGATTATGGTTTAGATTAGGGTAATGGCAGTGAAGATGGAAAGAAATGGACTGATCCGCAATGGAGTTTTGGAGATAGAGTCCATAGGATTTGCTGGTGGTTAGATATGGGAGGCAAGGTGAGAGAAAGAAAAATTGAGGATAATGCCCAGATTTTTGCGATAAACAACTGGTGGCAGATTGTTATGGGATAGGGAAGAACTAGGAGGAAGGCTTTGGGGAATTGGGAGTTGAGAACCATTATAGGTGTTTTGACTTTGAGTTGCCTATTAAGACATCTGAAGGAGTCAAATGCCTGCTCAGCAGTTGGATCTATGGAGCTGGGTCTGAGGGAGAGAGAGGCCTTAGATGGAGAGACAAATTTGCAGCTTATCTGAAGGACTCTAGCTTTTAGAATGGATGGAAAATTTAGCAAAGGACCCTGGAGGGACAATGACCAGTGATATGAATGAAATGTACACATGCCTCTTAATGGGCTTTCTAAGCATTGATCCCTCTTCCACAGGTACACATGGTGAAGGCTATGGTTTTTTTTTCTTGCAAATGTTAGGACTTTTTGCTGGCTGCTGTTGGGTCTTTTCCTCATCCTGCTGAGCGACTTGCTTTGCCATTGCCCACCCTTTCTCTTCTGTGGGTAAAGGCTTTAAACAAAGAGGACTTGGGGATAAAGGAAGACCAGTCTCTGGGCTTCTAGTAATGCTATTTCAGTCAGCTATATTTTGGGTTAAATAGGTTATGTGCTATTAAGTTTAAAAGCTTAGTGATTATTTATATGTATTTCTCAAACTGGGACTCATAGTTTTGAGAGTAGGAGTTCTCAAAATCTTTAATTTTGTGTTTTTATTTTGATATAAGAATTATTATTATAGATAATCTGAATGATTGCTTTATAGCTGACTCTCATGAGATTTCAATACCCGTGTTTTTAACCAGGTCATCATTCTAAATGTGTTTAACTTGTATGGCAAAGTTTTTCAAGCATGGGCTTCTGGAGTCTGTGAAGTGTGTATTTGACTGACAATGATCTATATTGTTTTTGTGAAAAAATGGTTTTAAATCTGTCTACTAAAGAATTACGAGTAAACTAAGTTGGATTACCAGTGTGCTTAATTCATAGACATTTTTTATCAATAGTCCAAAATACTGGTTTTCTAGAATTTTTTTTCCATCTTGTTTAGAAGTGATACTTGTGATAAAGTATATGATTAATTCCATTATTGTTAACAGCTTAAAGGTAAAATGGAGATTACTTGTGTAGAAAGCAGATAGTGTATGGATTTCTTATATTTAGAAGTAGTTGGTAAACACTTCTTTCACACTACCATGCAATACATCCTTTCACGAAAAATATAAGTTTTGGATAACTTATGTTTTGGATATCGCCTTCTTTTTACCAACATCAAAATATTTCTCTCTCTGTGATGAGAAGGTAAAATTAATTAAAAGCTTTCCTTTTGTTGTTTATAAATGTTTTAAACTGAGGCCTCAAAGTTGTTCTAATGTGGATTAGGGCTTTCTTTTTTAGTCATTAAAAGTGGTAGTCATTGCAGCTTTAGCCAAACCTATTTAGCAGTGTCCTAATTATGTTCTTCTGCATAACGAACATACATAGTCTGCTGTTATTCATACAACTTTTCAATACTTTTACATAATCTCTCATTAGATCCTCATGAAACTACGTGATGTCAGGGGAGCAGGTATTAGAAATTAGCATCAAATGCTCATTGAATGTTTACTAGGTGTTGTGCTTTAAGAGGTTTATGTGCATTTTCATTGTTATGGAAATTCAACCCTGTGAAATAGGTACTATTATTGCCTTCATCTTACGGATGAGAAAACTGAGGCACAGAGTGGTGGTAGTGGCATCTTGTACAAGTTTCTTAACATTTTTTTACCTATCTCTGCCGTATTCTTCTATAAGCCCATCTCTTCCACGCAAGATTCCACCCCTTGTTTGCTGCTCAAGGACATTGCGCTTGAAATTCTGTTTTTCTCTCTTGCGTTATCAGTTTTTTCCTTCTACTGGATTATTCCTGTTGGCATACAAACATGTTATTTCTCTCTCCTTAAAAAAAAAAAAAAAAGAGTAAAACAAACGAAGATGACCCTCTTTATTCCACTTCCCTTCTAGCTATTGCTCTGTTTCTTTCCTTGTTTTTAGTGTAAAACTCCTTCTAAGTTGTGTATATTCGCTATCTCTAACCATACTCCTCTCCTTTTCTCTTGAATCCATTCCAATTAAGTGTTTACCCTGCTGCGCCACCAGGATAGCTTTTATCAGGATCACTAGTGGTTTTCATGTTGCAGGATACTGTGGGGGAATGCAGAAATAAATAGAATGGTATGAAGGAAGGACACTGAGTAAGAACAAAAGCTTGGAAACACTCAAATATCCAGTGATAAACTGTAATTGTTCTATATATTGGAGTATTAGGCTTCTGTCAAAAAGAATGGGGAAGACATCTTTATATTGCTAAGGCGTAATCTCCAGGTTACGTTAACTGAGAAAACTAGGTACAAAAGAGTAAGTATAGTGTACTGTGTTTTATGTGGGAAAAGAAGGGAAATACAAGTATGTTTGTATTCAGGTTTGTTATGTTGTTAAGAAGAAATGATGGAAGGATAATTCAGAATTATAGAGGGGGAGGGGACAGGGACAGAAACTAAACCTCTTTGAATGTACCTTGTTCTATAAGTTTTACTTTGTTGCCGTGTATGTTACATATGATTTTGAGAAAATTAAATAGAAAAAAGTAATTGCTAAATAGTAACACAATTTAACAATATCAGGATGGTGGCATAGCTACAAGAGTAATTATTCCAAGTAATTTTGAAACACAGTGTTTTGACTGTATATCCCTAGTGGGTTATATCTAAGGAAAAAAGAAGCCACAAGAAATCTTAAACTTCATCCAATATTGTTATTATTATTTTGAGATTATATATAGTAGGATAAAGTATATAAATACATTTGCTAATGGCATATGTTTGTGAATATTAACAATCAAGATTTTCAGGCTGAGAGAAGATACAAATAAAATAAGTAGAAACCGTATCCTATTTAATTTAAATCAGAAATAGCAGTATGAACTCAGGGTTTAAGTTTCTCTTTCTAAAAAATACATACTTTCCTCAATGAAAAGTCTTAGAAGTAATGACAAGTAACAATAAGCACTCTTAGATCCCGGATTTTAGTCTTTAGATTCCATTGCTCATTAAAAGGAGTCAAGGCTTCTGGGGCAATGGCTGATTCCAAGTCTGGGGCAGGAAGTGAACCTGGGGCCTTTTGTGCCTGAAAGCATGGAAGCTATTAGAGACTACAGAGGTCATGTCAAAATGACACAGGAACCAACTTGAAGGGATTCCCACTGGCTAAAGATGGTGCAATTTGAGGATAAAATTTAAAAAAAAGAAAAGATGGCAGTACATTGAAAAACATAAAATTCCACAAGCTCATAATGATACTTAAACTAAAACTTATTGGTCACTTCTGGAGATTGCTTGGGCACTCGTTCTGAAAACTGATAAAGGGAATGAATTGAGCATCTTTGCTGTCTTTCTTGTATAGACTAGTTAACCAAATAGTAGAAGAAGTTCCTTTAGAAGAATCACAGCTAATACAGAATGAATTGTAGAACTAGAAAATAATCATTTTTTACCCCTAATGAAATAATGGATCTAGGCCATTGGATCTAGGTAATTAATAAAGTGAATGGTTGATGGGGAACTTTATAAGGGGTGAAGCAGGCTGACAACATTTGAACCCACTGATCAATCTTTTTTTGTTTTGAGGAAGATTAGCCCTGAGCTAACTACTGCCAATCCTCCTCTTTTTGCTGAGGAAGACTGGCCCTGAGCTAACATCCATGCCCATCTTCCTCTACTTTATATGTGGGACGCCTACCAGAGCATGGCTTTTGCCAAGCGGTGCCATGTCCACACCCAGGATCCGAACCAGCGAACCCCGGGCCGCCGAGAAGAGGAATGTGTAAACTTAACCACTGTGCCACTGGGCTGGCCCCTGATCAATCTTAACATTACTAAAAGTAGATTGACCAGTCCACATGTGCTGGTAATGATGTGATGCAAGAGGAAATACACAGCATTATTATGAAATTCTCTTGTCAAACAAAAAAGAACCTGAATCTAATCAACGTTCTACATCTAACTACATTATACAGGGACTATATAGGACAATATCAGGAGGACACAGTCAGCCAAACCCATGCTGCAACAGATTTTTTTCAGCAAATAAATAGCATGGGAAAAATTAAAAAAAGAAAACTGGAAACTGTTAAAAGATTAAAAGAGACATAACATCTCAATCCTGTGTGTGATCCTTGTTTGGATTCTGATTCAGACAAACCACCTCTAAAAACATTTTCGAGCAAGAGGGAAAAATTGAACTGTACTTGATATTACATACTAAGGAATTAGTATTTATTTTGTTGAGTGTGATAACATTGTGCTTATTTGGGGGAAAAAACTGTTACAGATACATACTAATTTTTACAGGTGAAAAGTGAAGTATGATATTTGCTTTGAAACTCTCTTCCCCCCAAAAAGGAACAGGGGCATAGGTGAAACAAGAATGCCAGAAGGTTGGTAATTTTTGAAGCCGTGTATTTGGGAGTTCTTGAAGATGGTACCTGGAGGTTCATTTTATTCTCTCCACTTTGTGTATGTTTGAGAATTCTCATAGTAAAGTAAAGAAAATTAAAATTCATAAGATAAGACTGATGTCCGTTATGCAGAATTATGATATGACATAGAAGTATCTATTAAATGTTCAGACTGGTAAAAAAAAATGATAGTTTATGATGGCTGTAGTATTTATCAAAGAAACTTCTTTAGGTTCCAGCTACAATAATAAGTATATTATGGAAACACATAAAGCATTGTATAATTCATTTTACAATCAATTATTAAATCAATCATCTACTTAGCATTTAACTTATGTTATATAATCTGCTGTTCGTGCCCCACTCAATATTTATTTATGTTGATTGAAGTTTTAAGACTTGTGGTATATATTTAAAAAAAACCAAACCTGCCGTGTTGTATTTGGTTACTTCTATATAGGAATTTGCACTTGTGCATTTTAGGGATGGCACACTCAAAAATACTTCCAGGAGAAGCTAGGTTATGCCTAACAGCTAAGTATCTTGGAAGGACAACTATCCCTTTGTCTTGATCTTTGGCACCTAAGGACCCTGGAACCATAACTCTTTCTCAGTATGACCATTTCTATTATGATTATTTCTAGTATAAGACTCTTTTTTTAGTAGCCATGTTGAATATGTAGTCTGTGTGAAAATTGTTACAGTTGTTGCTTGGATTTGACGTATTTAACCGTTGTTGATATAGCTAATATTTTATTGTTTTAATAGAATTCAGGGAACATTTGCCTGTTTCTCAGTTATGAAATAGGAGGTCTTATGGGGACTATACATAAATGCTTTAATTTTAAATACTTTAATGCTAGCAGTGTGAGCACTTAGCAGATTTGTCATAAGTGCAAAATAGGGCAGAGATAACCAGAATGTATTTCCTGTTCCTGGGTTGCGTATAGAGATGACAACTGAATCTCCATACACTTGAGTTGATTTTCATTTAGTCTTGTGCTTTTGAAAATGGTATAAAGGTAGTCATGAGAGTGGCAGGAATAATAAAACCTAGTATAGTTACCTAAAGCCATAACTAACTCCAAATGGCTCTTGAATTAAAACCAATGAATTGTTCTCCATGATGTTGTAGTAAAGAAGAAAATAAATCTTATGTATACTTTTAGATTAAAAATACTGACAAAACAATGCAAAATAACTCTGCTGATCTTGAAATTTTATCCCATTACTGACTATTGAAAGAACGCCCTCACTTTCTCATTTATAGTCTGGAAGGAAGGTGTTTAATGATAGTCACACATGCGTTGCATTATGACTGAAAAGGCAAACTTTCAATTTATCTTATTTTCCTTGTTTTTTTTTTTTAAGTTGGTAATTATTTGTATTTTATTGTATCTACAATAGATATGATACCATTTGCTGAGCTCTTGATGTCTTAAGTGGATTTTGGACAGACAAAATTCTTAAATTGTGTCAGTTTTCTGCTTATCTGTGCATAAAGGGAGTTTTATTTTACTCATCTTTAAGCATGTTATTTCCAACCTTCAGTTTGTATAATTAGAAAAAGTTGAATTCTTTTCTTTGTCCCATTTCTTAGTTGACGAAGGATCAGAGATTGGTGTATTCGGGCAGACTGCTTCCCGATCATCTGCAGCTGAAAGACATTCTCAGAAAAGTAAGCTTTTCTACCACTATTTGATACCAGATACATTCAAAGTATGAGAGGAGATATATTCTGAAGTTTTATCAATATCCAACCAGTTCAGTTTTTAGATACTTAAAATCAACCCTTTTGGGTAGCATAACTGCTAAACATGAATTAGAAAGTAAAGCACATGGGGTTGGTCCTGTGGCTTAGTGGTTAAGTTTGGTGCATTTTGTTTCGGTGGCCTGGGTTCAGATCCTGGGTGCAGAGCTGCACCACTTGTTGGTGGCCATGCTGTGGTGGTGACCCACATACAAAATAGAGGGAGATTGACGCAGATGTTAGCTCAGGGCGAATCTTACTCAAGAAAAAAAAAAAGAGGAAAATTGGCAACAGATGTTAGCTCTTCCTCAGCAAAAAAAAAAAAAAAAAAAAAAGCAGCAGAAGAAGAAACTAAAGAACATAGTGATAGATTCTGCTTAGTTTAGGTAACAGTTTTCTATATCCATTGGATGACTAAACCTGAGATAGGATTATAGATTTGTGTTCAGGTATTTGTCATCTTGTGTAAGAAGGCACTATTGACTTGTCAGTAGTGCAGCAGTAGAGTGTTCAAGTAGAGGTGAAAGATTTTCATTGATGATAATCTCCTTTTGACCAAACTACATGATACTTTAATACAAGTTTCTTGGGTTAGGAGTTTAATTTCAGGACAGGAAATAGAAGAAAACCCAATTGGTCCATCAGTTAGCAAGCTTTAAATACTGGTGCTCAGAGCTAAAATCTATTTCAATGTAGATTTTTTTTTTCAATGTAGTTTTTTGACAATCAGTTTGAATGCTCATTATTTTAATGGCAGCTTTTACCTCATGTTCATTTGTGGAATTTATACTTTTAGAACTTTTCTGCATTAGAGATGCTGCTTTTTGTTTGTGAATGTGGCAGAATTGAATACATAGCTTTTATGTTTTGTCTTAGATCTTTGACTTAACTCTTAATGTTCTGGATATCCCTAATCTGATTTAGAAGGTCTGTATCCTCTCCTGTGTGTTTATCATCGCCTGTGAGAGAGTTTGTCAAATGTTATAGTGGTATGTTCCTTCTGTTTAGATAGTTGACATTTTAGCTGTGCCAGTATGACTTTTTGCTGTCATTTTCATTTTAATCATGTAGTTTCAGGTTGTCAAAGTGGTTTAATAACCTCTCTCTTAAAAAGAGTGGAATTTGCGGCAGATTTATTCTCCTCTTTCTTTCTCTTTTTTTGATGGACTTTATTTTTTAGAGCAGTTTTAGGTTCAGAGATCCTCTATATCTCCTGCCTCCACACATGCACAGCTTCTCCCACTAACAGTGTTCTCCATCAGTGGTACCTTTGTTATAGTCGATGAACCTATGTTGACACATCATCATCACCCAAAGCCATAGTTTACATTAGGGTTCACTCTTGACGTTGTGCATTCTGTGGTTTTAACAAATGTATGATCATGTGTCCACCATTATAATATCATAAAGAATAAATTCACTACCCTAAAAATCCTTTATGCCCCACCTGTTCCTTTTTTTCTTGTTTTTATGCTTAAAAACCTTTTTGCTATATGCTTTTAGAAGTATAAGTTTATTTATTATTTTAACCTAAGGATAGCTAGAGTCTGTACCTGAATACTTTTCCAAAGGTTTTTGCTGCCAGAAATGGTTTCTGATCAGAAGACTTAAAATAAAAATACTTCAGTCAAAGGATTGTTGTGCTCCTTATATAAAACATTTTGAGCAATATGTTTATCATTTAAATGGATCTTCGGTCTGTTTTTATTAAAGTCAGTGTACCTCTACTGTTTTCAGTTAAATGCTGCCGTTAACTTTACCTGTTTAGTTATAAAATGTTTTACAGAGGCATTCTCCAAAGGCGAATGAATACTGTGAGTTAATTGTGATTAGTGTGACCTTCGAAACTAGGTTTATAAGGATAAACATCTTTTACTTGGATGCTTTTAAATATTCTGTATTCCAGAGCTCAGGGGACATTGTAAATCAGGCGTACCTTCTGCCTGCTTTGCTGGCGTTATCTCATGTCACGCCTTCTCTGGAAATGCCTTTCTCTAACATGCTGACTCCCATTAACCACCTTCTCTAAGCTCCTAAAGCAGTTGTAGTTTGTGCTTCTCGGTTTTGTATGGCAGACTGTTGTGTATTTTTCTTTGTGCTCGAACCTGCCAGTCTGATGTTTTAACGATATCATGAGCCTCTTTAAGGGAGGGGCTGACTCCTACCCTTTCTTGGATTCGCCTCAAAGTCAAGCACAATTCTAGGTTTATGGGAGGCAGTTGATAAATTCTTAGTTTCTAGAAGCTTTGTTTCTTCTCACAACTGGGCACTTTCTTTTCTTCCTGCCCCCGTTTTTCATCATTCTCTGTTTTTTTTCTTTTCTTTCTTTTTTTAGGTTGCTGAGCCATCCTTTGTTCTTTTCTTCCCTCCTTTATTCTGTTTCCTTTCTCCATCTTATTTACTTGCTTTATGCCTAAGTATAACTATACTCATGAAATCAGTAAGCTAAAATGCCAGTGCTAATCATTATTAGAATATTTTCCTTCAGTCATAGTTGTAGGTTTATGGGAACACATGGAATATTTACAGAATATAGTTCAAATATATGCTTTATATTTGTGTGTAAGTGTTATAGATAAAATCAGTCTTTGACTTAAAAAAAATAAAGAACTATACATCACCTTGCTAAAATTGAGGTAAATGAAATTGTGGTAAAGTTAATTGTGTTTCTTTATTATAGCTGAAAAGTCTCAAGTAATGGAAATATTTTCACTACTCAGAGTGTGTAGGCCTAAGCTTCAAGGTGACTATTACCTTTCTGATATTAAGGTGGTAATTAATATTAATGTTTGTATATTGAAATAATAGATTGCATTGACACAGCTTTGTAGCAGTGTTTGCTTCAAGACTCCTTGGTATACAAAGTAATCATTTTTTCATATAGCAGTTACTGAGTATTTAGACTATTTTCTAAGCATGGAGAAAATATTGAATTCAAAAGGGCCCCAAATACTAAAATGGTAAATTTACCTTCAAATGACAATAATTCATTACTAATAAAATGGCTATGCTAGAAAGGAACTTAAGTTTTAAGTTAAGTATTTCAGCTTAACTACTGACTTTTTGAGCTGTACATTTTCCAGTACTACCCTTTAAATGTAATCTTCTTTAATTTTAGCAAGATGAGTATCATATGGTTCATCTAGTATGTACTTCTCGGACTCCTCCCAGTTCTCCAAAATCCAGCACCAGTAAAGAAAGTCACGAAGCATTGGCATCCAGCAGCAATTCTGTGAGTTGGTTTGGGAGGAGTAAACGTTAAAGTTTTCTGATTATCCTTTTTTGCCTCTAAAAACTAAGTGAAAAAACAGAACAATTGGAGCTTGTGGGTTGTGAGACTGTGTTTTGAACAGCTTGAGTTGGCATTTAAACTTCGTTTTTAGAGATCCAGTATGCAGTGTTATCCCCTGAAGCCCGTTCCCCGTGAGTTATAATTTGCTATGTGGCAAGTCAGTAACAGATCCAATCTTCAGGGGTTTAATTCCTGAGATACTCAGCAGAATTATGACATGGTTGTATAATATAAACTCTAGGGCCAGTAAAGTTTCAGAAATATTTTAGGTATTTCATGTAGTATATTTTATTCAAGGTGGATTAAATTATTTGAATTTTAGGTATGCTAAATGTTCTTGAAGTAGTTTGGTCAAGAATTTTTTTTTTTAAATGACTAGATTTGGGGATGCATTCCAACTGCAGGAGGAAAAATTACTTAACCTACTTAGCTTTTTCATCTTTGGGAATTCATTTGTCCCTCCTTATTTTTCCATCTGCTTAAAATTGTTTTGGGAATTTTTTTTAATAGTTGAGCTTTTCAACTCAGGCATTCTTTATAAGTTTTAAAGACACTGTGCCAAATCCTTTCACATTAAATTATTTTTAGTTTCTCATAAAAACTTTATATGACACCTTTGGAGGTGAGAGAAATGGATGGGATGAGTGGAAGCTGGCTGTAAACTTCTTGGGCAGGGAGCTTTTATAGTACGAAGTATACTTCCTCCTCGTCAAGAATCTAGCCAAAACTTTTAGGAGGGGATAGTGGCCGAGGTGATAACTAGTTGAAATATCTTGTAGTAGATACTAGTTAACTGCTTCTTTAAGAAACTGTATCCTTTAGTTGCTATATTTAATTAGTATGGCCTCAATGGTTAGTATTTTCTAGTACCAGCCATGGGAGCTTAGCTTACATTAAACTGAAATATGTTTTGTCAATAAACCCAAGAGTCTGTCTTGCATAAGAAGGGACAGACATTGGCGTTGGCAGAGTTCTGTATACGCCCTTTGGATATAGTTGTGTTGCTCCAGTTTTTGTTGAGAAAGAACCCTATGACTTGGCTAGTGGTTCCTCAGCTATCATTTTATGTCATTATATATATATTCAGTTTTTTTCAAGATGTGTTATGAAAATCTAAAAGTATTAAAGGAAAATTAAGTTGAGTTACCCTTAATTTTTTATTGCTGAGAAATTTCAGTGGGACTGGAAAAATCTTAAAAATATAGTCATGAAAGAGTTATCTAATAAGGTCAGAAATCATTAGTTCTAGAGAAATTAGGCTGTACTGCCAAATGGCTAGGTCTTTCTTCTCTTAACTTTTTAATGAGCACCAGATTATGATTGTCCACTTAATGAGAAATCTTGCCAAAAAAGAAGTCCTTCTCAGTTTATGTCCCTAAGAAGCAGGCTACCTAGTAAGATATTATGTATCTGTTTTGTGTGGAGTAACATCTTAAAGAAAGCTTTTGTTAGTTTTGCAAAAGATCAGTGTCCTTGGGACCTTTCACATGGCAGGACTTAGGAAGGTAGACATGTAGAAAGATGTCCTGTCAATAAGAAGGCAAAATACAATTTCAACAAACTGAGAAGGATGTTAAAATTATATTGTATTCAGCTTTTTAAAGTGGGAGAACTGTAATTTCTATAAAATGTAATTGTGTTTTAAATTTACATAAAACATGACAAACTGTTTTCCAACAGCAACAAATTGAGGTGGGCTTTAAAAGGGTTATATTCTTTAAGGTTATTGAATCTATGAGTTACTGATGGCACTGGAGAATGAGAATTTTAAAATCCTTATTCGTATCTTGTTCATTTTGTAAAAATCAATATTTGTTGGTGGTGTCTATAAATGAATAGAATTTTAGAACTGAAAGGAATCTTGAAGATGTAGTTTAATCTCATTTTTTGTAGGAAAGCTGAGATTCAAGGCTTACCTAACTCAAGAGGTTAGATGACCTTTTAAGATTATGTTCCTTGTTAATGTCAGAGATAATACCAGATTCTAGATCTTCTGATTTCTAGCATGTTCCTCATTGTTTTAAACCAATGTGTTACCAATAGCATGTTATACAGTACCTGGCACATAGTAGCTGTTTAAGTGACAGTAATTAGTACCATTTGTTGAGCATTTCTGAGTGTTAGGCATCATTAAAAAAGCTTTGCATGTATTAATTTTATCCTCACAGTTTTGTATACAGTCAGGCACCGCATAATGATGTTTCGGTCAACGACGGACCACATATACAATGGTGGTCCCATACATTTAGTACTATGTAGCCTAGGTGTGTAGTAGGCTATACTCCCTGGGTTTGTGTAAGTACTCTCTGTGATGTTCCCACAATGATGAAATCACCCAACAAGGCATTTCTCAGAACTTATCCCCCATCTTTAAGTGACGCATGACCGTATCATGCTCTACTACTCGGCCGTTTCTAGATGAGAAGTGGACTGTTGTATAATTAAGCACTTTTGACTTTCTGAGCTCTTAATCTCATCAGAATTAAAATGTTCACCTATTGTGCTGGGCACAAGATTCAAATCAAGTAAATTTCTAAAATTTACTCTTTGCAAAGGGATTTCATAAATACATTTTTAGCAATGTGTCTTTAATCTCATATTGTAATGAGTTGTTTCCTTGAAAAAATAATTACATCTTTGTTTGTAGAGTTCAGATCAGTCAGAATCAACAACTCCATCATCCAGTCAAGAACCCTTGTCCTTAGCTGCCAGTTCTTCCTCAGAAGGATTGAGGCAACGTACCCTTCCACAAGCACAAACGGATCCAGCACAGAGTCCTCAGTTCCCATATGTAATGCAAGGGTGAGTGAAATTGTGGTAGCTGTGGCCCTCTTAAAAATCTGTTTCTCCAGACTTTCATGGTAGTCCGTCTGCAGTAATCAAAGTACATTTGAAATTTATTCATATACCTGATTATATATTTTGAGAATTAGAGAGTTAAGTAGAGCAGTGGTTTTAAAAGCTGGTCACAGAGCAGAATCATCTAGGGCAGTGCTTTCAGTCTTTAATGTTCATGTAATCACCTGGAGATCTTGTTAAGATGTAGGTTCTGATTCAGTAGGTCTGATGGGACCTGAGATTCTGCATTCCCAGTGAGCTCCCAGGTGCTGCTGATGCTGCTGGTGCCTAGGCCACATTTTTGAATAGCAAGGATCTAGGTAATTAAAAAAAAAATTTTTTTTCACTCAGTCTTAGTATAGATCTACTTAAATTAGTCTTCTGGGGAGCAGATGGGTGAGTGAGGAGGCTCTTGGAAGAGCATAGGGCCCAGTAATCTGTTTTTAAAAAGTTCCATAGGTGTTTCTGATCATCCAGGCTTGGTAACAACTGAAGTAGAGTAACACTGTGATGTATTATAAAGATATGCTAACCATTGCATTTTATCCAGAGTCTTCCTCAGAGGAGTTTACTCAAGAAGCTTGCTATGGCTACCTTATATTTAGCAATAACAGCATGCCTCTTCGGTTAGGCAGTTCTAGGGGGAAATGTAGCCAAAGGCCACAACACATCTTTCAGACAGCTCAGCGAGTAGGCTCTTGGAGAATATGATTTGGATGTGGATTATGTCTAAAACCAGAGTCCTTTACTGGGTTGCTATTATTTGTTACTTTTGAAGTAAAGGAAGCATGAGTAATAGGTAGTGATAATTGTTTTGTGTTGCATATCATACTGTGGGACTGCAGTGTGTGGCCATGCTGCAGATCTGTGATGGTGAGGCTGGAAATAAGGAAATGGCCAGAATCCCAGAATGGTAGTGTAAGTGATGAAACCAAGGAGTAGCCACTGACTGCTGTGCTAAACAGGATGGAATAAACATTCAGGTAGTTTTTACTTAGAACTTTAAACAATTCAATTCTTAATGTAGAAAAACAAAGCTGAGTTTATAGCAAAATACAAGAAAATTCATTTGTCTTATATTTCTTGAATGCAAAGCTTTTCCTCTAAAAATAAGTGTTTAGATGAGGCTGATCGTAGACTTTTATAAAGCACCTGTGAAATTATTTTTGTCTTCAGAAAATGATTACTACAAACTAAAACTTAGTTATTTGTAGAATATAATGTTCTCGGGGTTTACATTATGGAATAATAGCTTAAAATACTTTCTATTTTATGACAGTGATTCATTTCCTATCTTTTTTGCAGAGTAAGACAATTCATTCCTTTCCATTTATATAGTGATTTTACTTATTTAATTTGGTAGTAGTGGTGGAGGGTGAGAGTATTATGCATATAATAAACCTGGGAGAATGTGTAATGACATGTTAATAATAGTTATCTGTGGGTAATAAGATTGTTAACTCTTTCTAATACTTAAAGTAAATATATTCACAAAAGAACGCTTATAAGGTTACAGGTCTTCAGAATAAGACTATAGATATCTTGGGCAAAGAGTAATAATTTTTCCAGGCTGTTGAGGAAATCAGCAAACAAGAGAGACAAAGGCATTCAGCTCTCAACAGTATATTAAACAGATTAGAAAAATCTGCAATAGTGTTTATTTTGCCAAAAGTGAGTATTAAAATGATGAACAATAAAATCATTAAAGATATTTCGACTTCACTTAGGGAATCTATTAATAGCTGAATAATGTTTGGTTTTAAATCAGGAGGGCAGTATAGCTTAGTGGCTGTACAGATTCTGGAGCCAGGCTGCCTTGATTTGAATCCTGGCTCTATCAGCTGACTTGGGTGAGTCTCCTCCCCACTTTGCTTCAGTTTGCTTGTTATCTGGAGATGAGTACTTATCATACAGAATTTCAATGTGGATTAAAAGAGTTCATGCATGTAAAGTGTTTAGTTGTGTTAGCAATTGCTTGTAAATTCATTCCTACTTATAAATGAATGTTCTACATCCATTCAGCAAATAGATTTATAGGCAGCTGTGTGTCTGGTATACTGAAACATTTGAATGAATGAATGCCAGTGCTGGGTGCTAGAAAAGAAATCTTTATTTTTGGAAAACGCTTTGTGATTTACAAAGCAATTTACATGAAAGTTCAATAAGTAGGTTATTCTCTTCAACAGTGAATGTGATTTAACTTAATCTCATAGTTGTAATTTTTTACTAATGAAGACTTTACATTTGTCTTTAAGTAAATTTTATTTCACAGTCTTAGCCTTAAGTGTGCATAAGCAGTAATTTAGTGACCTTGAAAAATTCACCTGCAAAATATAAGCTTTGTGCTTCTTTTTAAAACTTCAGTACAGCTTATATTTAACTAGTCACATATATTTTCTACCATGTAGGTTAATATTCTCAATCTTTAGTTATCTTGTTAAAATGGCTAAATCCTGGTCCCTATTCTCTGAGGTTTTGAATCACTAGGTTTGGGGTGGTGCTCAGGGAACCTCACTTTGAGAAATCCCAATGCAGGTGATGATTTGCTCATCTAGCTCTTGAGGAAACATGAGGTGATCAAAGCAGTACATGTGCATCATGCATTGACTGTCATTTTTTATGTCACATTTATAAATTCTGACTGACCAGTTTGGATTCAGTCTGCTGTGCTGTCACATTTATTTACTTTAACTCCAAAAATTGCTGGCTGGTTTATAGAATACTCATTGTTTTGTACATTCAGTTTTTTCCTTCTGAAATAGTAATAGCGTTGTTTTATAATTAGTAAAACTGAAAACCTACTCATTGTATCCTCCTGTAGTATCTGATTTTTTAAAGTAAAAGTTGCTTGTAGCCACCACCCAGAAATAACCATTACTAACATTTTTGTAGTTTTCTTCCAAACACTTATTCTAAGTATACTTTTAAATAGAAATATCATACTATTTTATTTTGTAAATACTTTTGAAAACATAATGTAGCCTGGATGTATTTCCAGATTAATTGTAAATCTCCAGCATTTAAAGTCTTTACTAGGAATAAATTTAGCCAAGGAGGTGAAAGAACTGCACACTGAAAACTATGACATTGATGAAAGAAATTGAAGAAGACACAAATAAATGGAAAGATATTCTGTGCTCATGGATTGGAAGAATTAATAGGTTAAAATGTCCATATTACCCAAAGCAATCTACGCAATCAAAATTCTAGTGGCATTTTTCACAGGAACAGAACAAACAATCCTAAAATTTGTATGGAACCACAAAAGACCCCAAATAGCCAAAGCAATCTGGAGAAAGAAGAACAAAGCTGGAGGCATCATGCTCCCTGATCTCAAACTATACTACATAGCTATAGTAATCAAAACAGTATGGTATTGGCATATAAACAGACACATTAGATTGGTGGAACCGAATAGGGAACCTAGAAATAAACCTAAACATATATGGCCAATTAGTTTATGACAAAGGCAGCAAGAATATTCAGTGGGGAAAGGACAGTCTCTTCAATACATGGTCTTGGGACAACTGGACAGCCACATGCAACAAAAGAAAAGTCGACTGCTATCTTACACAATACACAAAAATTAACTCAAAACAGATTAAAGACTTGAATGTAAGGCCTGAAACCATAAAACTCCTAGAAAAAAACCTAGGTGGTAGGCTCCTTGACATTGGTCTTAGTGATGATTTTTGGATCTGACTCCAGAAGCCAAGGCAATAAAAGCAAAAAAAAAAGCAAGTGAGACGGTATCAAAGTAAAAACCTTCTGCATGGCAAAGGAAATCACTAACAAAATGAAAAGGCAACGTACTGAATGGGAGAAAATATTTGCAAATCATAAGTCTGATAAGAGGTTATATCCAAAATATATAAAGAACTCATACAACTCAATGGTAAAAAAAACAAATGATTTTATTAAAAGCTGGGCAGAGGATCTGAATGGACATTTTTCCAAAGAAGACATACAGATGGCTATTAGGCACATGAAAAGATGCTCAGGATCACTAATCATCAGGGAAATGCAAAACAAAACCACAGTGAGATATCATCTTACACCTCTTAGAATGGCTGTTATCAAAAAGACAAGAAATAACAAGTGTTGGTGAGGATGTGGAGAAAAGGAAACACTTGTGCACTGTTGATGGGAATGTAAATTGGTGCAGCCACTATGGAAAACAGTATGGAGATTCCTCAAAAAATTAATCAATAAAACTACCATGTAATTGAACAGTTCCACTTTTGGGTATTTATCCAAAGGAAATGAAAACAGTAACTTGAAAAGATATCTGCACCTCCATGTTCACTGCAGTGTTATTTACAATAGCCGTGATATGGAAACAGCCTTAGTGTCCACCAGTGGATGAATGGACAAAGATGGCGTACACACGTGTACACACACACACACACACACACACACACAATGGAATACTATTCAGCCATAAAAAAGGATGAAATCTTGCCCTTTGCAATAACATGGATAAACCGTGAGGTCATTAGACTAGGTGAAATAAGTCAGACAAGGAAAGACAAATGCTGTATCATCTCATATGTGGAATCTAAAAAAGAACACAAAAAGCCCTCAAACTCATAGATATAGAGAACAGACTGGTGGTTGCCAGAAGGGAGGGGGCATGGACAGTGGATGAAATGGGTGTAGGGGGTCAAAGGTACAGACTTCCAGTTATAAAACAAGTAAGTCATGGGGATGTAATGTATAGCATGGTGACTATACTTAACAATACTGTATTGCATATTTGAAAGTTGCTAAGAGAGTAAATCTTAAAAGTCCTCATCACAAGAAAAAAATTTTTTTTGTAACTGTGTATGGTGATGATGGTAACTAGACTTATGGAGTGATCAGTTTGCAATATATACAAATAGCGAATCATTATGTTGTACACCTGAAACTAATATAAAGTTATATGTCACTTATACCTCAATAAAAAAAATCATCCTGATAAT